TTAAGCCTTGTGATCTCGATTTTCGTACTTACTTGCTATCTCGTGCGTAGAAGTAATTAGGGCTTGCTCGATTATCGGATTTTTAGTAGCTATTTTAGTTGTTTTCATTTCTTTTAATTTTGTGGACTCGTTTATGATGCTTGGAGTTGATTGATTGATTGATTGCTATTTGAAAAATCGTGACTTTACATTTAGCTCGGTTATTTCGTAGTAGGATTTTGGTGTTGGCTCTTAAGCATGCTAAATGGAGTTCGTTTCTCTTACTTTCGCTTTTGTTGCTCTTGATTTTGTTCACCGGACGAGTTGCTAGGGTTCTATAGTTCGTTCACTTGCTCGTTGCTCGTCTACTTGCTTTCACTAGTCGTAATTAGTGTTAATCAACCTCAACCCAAATTGATTAGTATGTTTAGGACTTTATTTTCCCTTTTTGTGATTTGAGCGATTGAATAGTAAGTAAAGCTCCGAATAGCCTTCCCTCGAGATCGACCGAGTCGGGTAACTCGGTTATCCTTTGCCCACCAAAATTTATACTAAACATATAGGGCACCCCTATATTCTACATGTTCAAGGTAAAGAATCCATCCAAAGAAATAAATAAGTCAAAAATATAAGTGCGATAAAATTTAGCATATAAAAATACGTTAATAAATATATAAAATAAACACTTTTTTTTCCAACCAATCAACTGCATGCTTGATTCATGCACATAAAAACTACTCGACTTCCTTGGCGAGTTTCTGCCGAAAAAAGTACACCACACTCGTGCATATTCTCTGATCTTCTGAAAAAATAAAAAAGAATTCACCGGCTTCGTCGTCTAGGCAAAGACACTGGGATTCCTCGTTTGTTCAGTCCGACGTACTTACAAGTCCACGTCCTTGGAGTCTGCACAACCCTCACGCAGCGAACTCCGACCATCAGTCGCATATTCGATCAGAGTCTAGGCCACAACCCGAACTGCCCAAACAAGCCACCGGTTGACCGCTTGCAACCAGCCATCCGAGCATTTGCGATCAACGAACTCAAAATAACCATATTCGACAACCAAACGGCGTTAGCTCTCGACCGTAATCATCTAAAAAATTTTACCCTAAATGCGTCGATCATCTTATCCAATCTGCCGGCAACTTCCATTCATCTTCTCCGTCCAGAACGTTGCCTTCTTCGACTCTTTTTGTTAGCATCAATAACATCATCCCTCGGAGCACCAATGTTTGCCCAACACCTGGAAGCTCAACAATGAACAGCTCTGCGCGGCTCTTTGGCCAAAGCCTGGCCGCGCTCAGTCAAGCTCTACACCTCCTTCTCTGGCCGTCTTTAACCTTGGCTTTATCTTCGGACCTACAACTGCGTCCAACGATATTCTTTAACTTGTGTGTAGCCCGATAAGTTCTCACCAATATGGCCATCGATCAGACCGAAACAACCATGTCCAAAATGCTCAGTCTGCCCCTCACTGAGACCGACGACAGTAGGACCTTGGCCTTGTTCCTTAGCCCACGTTCTACAGCAGAAACCGCAATGTCCGTCGCCTAGCTATTATCGACGTCCAGCGAAGCCACCATCTCCAGCCATGTGCATCAGGTACATGCCAAACGTGCGGTGGGAGCTGTTCGGCTTACAGCTAAACTTAAGCAGCGAGCTCGACCCCAGTCCGGCTCTGAAGGTAATGGAGAGCTCGTGGAAATTGCCGACGACGATATCGATGGAGCAGAAAGAGAATATTGGCCTTGAGAATTGCGGTTTCAGGTCCTTAGCGAGGCTTTCAAGAGGTGGTAGATTATATGGAAATTAAGATAAAATGAAATGTACCAAAAAAAGAAATATGTGATTTTTTTCTTTAAAATTTTTAACTTAATTTAATTTATTTATTTTTTTTCAAAAAACTTCAAAAATACATTTAGGAGGGATATTCCCAAGTTTTTTAAAAAGAAACTACTATGTTTAATAAATTTTTAGGCGGAAATATTAATTATTTTTTAGTTACTATTCCAGAGTTTTTGGGTTGCAACTTAATAATAATAATAATAATAATAATAATAATAATAATAATAATAATAATCAAAGATTACTTCCATTAATTTTATATTAAATGATATTTTAGTACAAACTTAAAATTTCATTCAAACATTACTCAATCAATTTTTTTTAAAATTAACTCTAGTTAACAAACAAATCCAATCAAAACCAAAATAACTGAAACGTAAACCAAATTAACTGAAACCTAACTCATACTTAAGTACTCCCTAAAAACGCCATCGTCAAGATTATGCCTGAGATCGTTGGTTCCTAACATATTTTTCAG